GGAAACTTTACAGCGCCGTCCCCGGCCGCAAGTTCATCGCTGTGAAGGCGCACAGCCCGCAGGGCGAGGGCGAGATCCCGCTGCACCGCGGCGAGGCCGTGAAGGGTGAGGGGCGCGGGGGGCGGGGTCGCGGGGCGAGCGGCGGGGACCGCGGGCCTCCTGGGTTTCACGGGTGCCCCTCTGGGGTGCCCTGCCGTGGGCCTCGGCGATCGAGGAGGGGCTGATGCCGTTTGAAGGTCTCTGTCGTTGGGGGTATCCTTGGGAACTCTGAGCCTCTGTGGTCATTATGGGACGCATCTTCCTCTGGGGATTCCTTGTGTCCCTGTGAAGGGCTCTGTGTCTGTCGCGGGGCCGGGGGGGGGGGGTGTTTTCATGGGGTTCCTGTCATGTGGGTCCTTCTCGATTCTCTCGTTATGGGTTCCCTGTGTCACTGTAGAGGCTCCTCTTGTCGTGGGGGTATTTCTGTGCCTTGATGGGGACTGGTGTCATTGGCGTTCTGTATATTGAAGGACCCTATCCCATTACAGAGCTTCCTCAAATAGTGGGGTTCCTGTGTCACTACTGGGACTTCTTCCTTGGAAATCCTTGTGATATGTGGGGACCCTGTGCCATTGTGGGGGATATCTGTGACAATTATGTGGGTGTCTATGTATCATGAGGGTTTCTGTCACTGGGGCTTCCTGTGTTCAGGGGGGATCCTGTGCCATGACAAGCTCCTCTCAATATGAGGGTTTCTGTCATCACTGAGGTCCTGTCCTCATCAGTGCCCTGTGTCCATGGGTGCCCAAGGAGGAAACAGTTGCAAGGGTCAGCCCTCCTTGGTCCATCATATGATCTAATCCCCTGGCCACAGCACAATGATCCTGAGCTCTTGGTAGTGACCTGTGGGGTGGGTGACAGAACAAGGATGGGGGTTGGTTCAAGAGGTGGGAGGAGAGAGGTCAGCTGGGAGGGCAGGAGCAGGATGTGGCCCCTGCCTCTGCCTACTGTCTCCTCTCAAGTGTGTCCATCTGTGTGTCTCTCTGTCCCCCACATGCCCATCCTGTGCTGTGCCCATCTGTTCATTTCTCTCTTCTGTGTGGATCCTAAAATCTTCCCAGAGAAAAAGTCAGGAAGATGAAGGAAGGGAAGGGAAGAGAGAGACAGAAAGGGTGAAGGGTGGGTGGGCAGAAGCTCAGCCTGAGGTGGTGGTGGTGGTGGGAGAGGTGGTGGGAGAGGTGGGCTCCTGGCTGCTCTGCCCTGACAGCCTGTCTGGCTTCTGTCCCTCCAGTGCTCAGCATTGGGGAGGGCGGTTTCTGGGAGGGGACCGTGAAAGGCCGCACAGGCTGGTTCCCGGCTGACTGCGTGGAGGAGGTGCAGATGAGACAGTATGACACGCGGCACGGTGAGTGACCCCCATATCCCCTAGGCGGCTCCTGAGGGGTGTTGCCCCTTCCAGCTCCCCTTTGGTCTTACTTGGAGCTAAATCCACGTGGATATTCACAGAGGGAAGACTAGAGTGAACTCAAACACACGTTTGAAGTGGACGCGAACTTGTGTACATGAGACACATGGTGCACGTACTTACGAATACATGTGCTTGCAACCTGACACCTCACAGCAGTGGAGACACGTATGACGTGCCCATAGGCTGCACATGTATGAACGTGCATCTGCCTGTGACCCCACACTTGGCTCCCAGTGACCACAGCCCCCACCCCCATGGTCCTCACAGAAATACTGGATGCTTGGAGTATGTGGCTGGCAGACAAGTAAAGAGGTCAGTATGAGAAAAGAGGCGTCTTTCCAAAGTGGACAGATTGTCCAAGTGGGCAGTGCAGGAGACCTGGACCAGCCAAGAGGAAATGAGGCCAGTTGGGTCCAGAGGGGCTGTCGTGGGTGCCCTGGGGCCAGGATGGTCTGAGGGCAGCAGGTGGGGGCTGGCTGCATCCTTAGCCTGCATGGAGGACATGAGGATGAAGGCTATAGCTCCTGGTGAGCAGCCTCAGTCCGACCGTGGGACTGACCGCCTGGGCCTCCAGGAAGGACCCCTCTGAGTGTGGGGATCTGAAGTGGTTCTGCTAACGGAAAGCAGCAGCAGGTCCTTTTGAGGCCCCGTGCCAGAGTTGGCCATGTGTCTAGGGTATACCCTTGCAATGAGCACTCAGGGGTCCTGGAGGCCCCCAAACCTATGAGTGTTACTTGTGGCCCAGAGAGCTGGTACAATGAGGGAGCTCCCTCCTAGTGGTGGCCCATAGTGGTCACCAGTGGTGTGTCTCGACCAAGGGTGTATGTGTCTCTCCTTCTGCTCCGGAAAGGCTTGGGCCCAGGGCTGCTATGCTCCCTTGCCCTGGGTTGAGAGTTCCCAGGGGAGCCTGCCCCTGTGTGGCCTGGACCCTGTGGAGCGTGGCAGAGGCCCATGGAGGCAGGAGTGTGGCCGCTGACCCTCTCCTTAGCAGGTGTCTTTACTCCTTCACTTGGGCATTCCTTGTCTTGCCCTGATGGGTCTCCTGGTGGTTGACAGTGTAGAAGGCACACAAGCCCCTGTTGTCTGCCTGTGGAGGGTGAGTCGAGTGGCGTGTCTAGGTGGGAATGATTTCAGAGGTTTGAGGCCTGGTGCCACTGGGCAGGGGAGGGCAGGAGAGGAGGGCCTCCAGACCTGTTGAGTGGGAATGGGTCCTGTGCTCCCCCATGGGGTGGACAATGAAGGTTCTGGTTTGAGAACTGTGTGGGTCCAGGGGCAGTTGGCCTTGAGTCTGAATCTGGGGAGAGAGAGGGAGGTCTGGACTGGAGTTGCGTTTTAGGAATAGCAAATGTGTATTTGGTGTCAGACTTGTGCTCGACCCTGTGTTGGGAGCCAGGATCACAGAGGTTGGCCCTGCCCAGAGAGGAGCAGGCGTGCACAGCAGTTATAACAGATGCATTAATGTATGGCTGCAATGGAGGCGTGAGCACAAGGGAGCTCCCTGGGTTGGCCTGAAGGAGTCAGAGAAGGCTTCAAAGTGGAGGTGTTGTTTGAGCTGAGCTTTGGTGGATGACTAGGAGTCCTCTAGGTGGTCAGCCGATGGGGGTGGGGCCAGTGCCCATTTGCCAGAGCATGGCATGCCGTTCTAGATCTGCACGTGCTGGCAGCTGGCATGCTCCCAGCAGTGTCAGGGTGCTTGGCATGGTTTTAAGCACTTTTACATATAGGAATTCAGTGACTCGTCCCAACAGGTCTGGGAGGTGGGGACAGTTGTTGTTAGCCCACTTCTAGGAGGGCAGGTCCCATGGCCTAAGGGGTAGAGTCTTATTTGTGACATAGGCAGTGGGCTGCGGGGTCCGTGCTGTAGCCACCACACCTTATGGGCTCCAGCTGAGTGAAACCTGTGTGTGCAGTGAGGGGTGGCAGGGCTGGAGTGGAGAGCGTGAGGCCAGTCAGGTGGCTGTGGGCCCGGGGGAGGATGGTGGGACTGAAGTTTGTGGCAGTGTTGCAGGAGCGGACTGGGGGTGCTGTCTTGGTTGTGCAGATTGTTTAGAATTGCAGTGAAGGCCCAGGCAGGGCAGGGTGAGGAGTTGGAGAGGGGGTGGGCAGGGGTGGGCTGAAGACACAGAGGGAGAGGGGAGAGTGCACAGCATAACCAGTGAAGAAGCTGTAAGTCCTCAGGCAATTGCGGGGCTCCTAGACGGGGTGGCTCTGGGGTTTGTCACCCAGGGGAGTGTCAGAAGATACCTGGGTAGATGGGAGCATTTCATGAGTGGGCAGAGGGAGAGAGGCCTACGGAGGCTGCCTGCCAGGAAGGGGTGGGAGTAACCTCTGTCCTCAGCTGCAAGCCCAGCTCAACAGCTGTTCTGGGCAGAGTCTCTGATCTGGGACCCTGGGGCTGAGTTCTGCCAGAGGCCAGAGGGCAGCCCAGGAACAGGAACCTGATTCCAACAGGCCCAGATCCAAAGAAAGATCTGTTTCTGAGACTGGAGTGGGGACAGACAGGGACTTAGAGGCCAAGGAGGGGACACTGTGCCAGCACGTGTGGGCCAGGCTGATGTCCAGGGTCAGCAGGCAGCGTGCCTCCATAGCACCTGTCTGGAGCCGGAGGAGTGAAGGGAGTGGCTGCAGCAGAGTTGCACTGCGAAGCCCTGTGTGCTCTGGAGGCTGGTTTGTAGGACCCTGGAAAGCTGTGGCTCCCCCCTCCTTCTCTCCCTCCCTCCTCCCCTTCTTTTCAGTACTGGGGGGGTCATGCTGTATGTTTTCACTTCAGCTGGCTTTTATGTGTCTGATTAATAAAACAGGAAAATGAATTTGTGTTATGTAATAAATACAATTTGGTTGACAAAATCTAAAAATGGGAGGCTAGTGAACTGTGGAGTTTAGGGGGGTCCTTCTGCAGGCAGGTGCTGTGAACATTTGTGAAGTTGGGTCGATGTGGAGAAGGGTTTGGTGCCCCCCTGAGCAGTGGTGATGGGGCCTGGCCTGCTCTGGCCTTGGGAATGGCAGGATGGTGGACCGTGGGTGCTGGTGCCCTGCGGAGGGTCTCAGTCCTGATGGGCAGTGTGTGGGAAGAAGAGAGAAGAGAGCAGGGGAGCACGTGGGAGGGTGCCAGGGTGATAAAATTACAGGCCATCAGAACCTAGGGGACCTTCCAAGGTGAATTTTCGTACTCTGTAAAGAGAGGCTCAAAGGGGACTGTTGACTTTCCAAGAATCACACAAGTTAGTGGCAGGGTCCTGAAATCTGGACCAATACTTTTCCTGACATCTGTGTTTTCTGATATTAATAGGAACTCTTTCTTCTTTCTGTCCAGCCACTGCTCCATCTACTCTTAGATCCATCTATCCTCTGACTCACCCACCCATCCTGCCATCCATCTACTCATCCATCAACCCACCCAGTCAACCCAGTCCACCCCAACCCCTCTTTCCACCCATCCACCCACCCAGTCCATCTGTCCATCTATTGATCCATCCATTCATCAGTCTACCAATCTAGTTATTCCCTTTCCATCAACTCACCCAGTCTCCCTGTCCATCCATTTACCCATCTTCTACACTTTCACCATCCATCCCTCCCAGCTCTCTTTCCCTCCATCTACTTATATATCCATTTTGTCTTTTGATCTATCCTTCTGTGTCTTATTGCATTCATCCTTTCATCCCTCCTTCATATATCCATCCACCCACCTACCCACCCAGCCAGTTGTCCACCTGTCTGTTCTTCCAGTTAGCGTTTAGAGTGCCTGTTATGTGCCAGGTACTGTGGTAGGTGCTAGGATACCAGAAATAAATGAGATGTGGTCCTTATCCACAAGGAGCTCACAGTTAGTGGAGGACAGGTCATCAAAAATCATAGGTCCCCTCTCTGATCTCCTTTCCTACCACTTTCTCTTGCTTCCTCTGCTCCAGCTGCACAGGCTGCTCACTGTCCCTTGAACACCCCAAGCCAGTGCCTGCCATGTGGGCTTTGCCCTGAGCACATGGGCTCCCAGGAAGCCCTTTATCCATATAATCTGCTGGGTGCTCTGTCACGTCCTTGCACCTTTGCTCAACTCTCCCTTCCTGGTGAGGCTTTCACATGACCACCTAGAACTGCAAACTTTCTCTGTACCCCATCCTGCTTACTTTTCTCTTAACACTTGCCAGCATTTGACATGTGATGTATGTACCTATCTCTTGTGTCTGTTCTCTCTCTCTTCGAATAGATCATAAACTCCACAGGGTAGAGGCTTTGTTCTGTTCTCTTCTGTGTTTTCAGAGCCTAAAACAAACAGTGCTTGGTACATAGTAGGAGCTCAGTAAATACTTGTTGATTGAGTAAATTAAGCTTGAGAAATGCTAAAATGAAAGAGAATGAGGGAGGAGCTGAGAGATGAAATGGGAGGTGGTGGTAGAGCCATCTTGGGGACCTTCCCAGGTCCTGGAGACCTGAAGACAGAGATGCGGGAAAGCCCGGAGGGGCAGGAGTGGGTGCTAGGGTACAGGAGAATCTGATTTATAGGCAGCTGGAGAAGTAAGCCTGCAGCAGGGAGGGTTGTGGCTGGAGGTGAGGATTAGAACCTGCAGGCTTGCAGGAAATCAGTGAGGCCAAGGGTGGGGCAGCGGGCAGACAGCTGGCCAGCTCTGCAGTGGCTCTGAGGGACTTTGAGATCAAGAGTACAGATGAGGACAAAGCTCTGTGGGATGCAGTGACATCAGGGAAGGGGACCCAGCCCCCCACACCTGGACCCCTTGCCCACTCAGAGCCAGGGTGTGGAGCAAGGGACCCCATGAGGTTGAGCATCAGTGGGCTGTTGTGAGGGATTCAGTGAAGACACAATGTCGCTTCCATGCCAGTGCACATGAGTATATAGCATGACACTTGCACATGACTACGGGTCACACACACAAACATGCACGTGCACAAGCACATGCATGAACACTTACACGCTACTGTGGGCCACACACATGTGCATACACACATTCACACCTTCTTTGCTGTTAGGCTGGGACTTGCTGACTCTCTCTGTGGTTGGCCCTGGCCTTCTCCTGTCTGCTGTGTGCAGCCACTCAGGAGAGAGATGAACCACAGCTCCTGCCCTGTTCGGCACCCTGACCCCCAGAGGCCAAAAATTTCCCACATGGTCCCCTCGGCCTTCTTACCTTAGGACCTCTGGGCCCAGGACCCCAGGATTTGAGCCCCCTCACTTCCATGTGGTCACAGTCAGGCGAGGGGTGTGTGTGTGAGGGCAGAGGCTGGTGACCAGGATGGTTGAGGGGCAGTTCAGGCCAGTGGGAGGATGTGACCCTCCATCAGCTCCTGAAACTCCCCTCAGAAACCCGGGAGGATCGGACGAAGCGACTTTTCCGCCACTACACGGTGGGCTCCTATGACAGCCTCACTTCACACAGGTACACGCGGGGGCAGGTGGGCAGGTGGGCGGGTGGGCACCCATGCGGATGGGACGTCAGATGTGGAGGGAGGCTGAGAGCTGGTTGATGAGGCCTGGGGGTGAAGAGGTCAGAGGAGGGAGGGTTGGTGCCCAGCCCACCTCTGTCTTCTGCCTTCTCAGGTCAGATCAAGGACACCTCCAGGGGGTGGGCCGTGCCTGAGGGATCCTGTTTGGGGCACATGTCGGGGTCAGTCTGGCCAGCCATGCTCTCTGGCAGGGTTCTCCTCACCCCTCTCTGCTTTCCTCCATCAGCGATTATGTCATTGACGACAAGGTGGCCATCCTGCAGAAACGGGACCATGAGGGCTTCGGTTTCGTGCTCCGGGGGGCCAAAGGTAATGAAGGGTGGGGGGAGCCACGTGTGTGTGTGGGGCTGGCATGTCAGGGTGGCAGGGGCTGTGCACTGCTTGCAGCGTCTTGTGTTGTACCTCTGTTCTCTTCCCTGCCTCGCCCCTGGCTGATGCCTCACTCCTGCTCTGCTCCCTGCCTAATCCCTGGCCTCCTTCCTGTTATACTCCTATGCCCCCCAGCTTCACCCCTGCTCGCCAGCTTCACCCCTGCCCCCTAGCTTCACCCCTGTCCCCCAAGCTTCACCCCACCTCCCAACCTTCACCCCTGTTCCCAGCTTCACCCAGTCCCCCAGCTTCACCCCTGCTCCCCAGCTTCACCCCTGCCCCTCAGCTTCCACTGTTCCCCAAGCTTCACCCCTGCCCCCTTGCCTCACCCCTGTCCCCCAGCTTCACCCCTGCCCCGCAGCTTCACCCCTGCCCCCTTACCTCACCCCTGTCCCCCAACTTCACCCCATCCCCAAGGTTCACCCCGTCCCCCAGCCTCCCAGCTTCACCCCTGTCCACTTGCCTCACCCCTGTCTCCCAGCTTTACCTCTGTCCCACAGCTTCACCCCCGCCCTACTGTCTTCCCCTTCCCCCCAGCCTCACCCCTGCCCCCAGTCTCACCACTGCCCCCCAGCCTCAGCCTTTCCCTCCAGCTTCACCCCTGCCCCCTAGCCTCAGCCCCTCCCCCAGCTTCACCTCTGCCCCCTGACTCACCCTTGCCCCCTAGCCTTCCCCGTCCCTGCGGCCTCACCCTTGTCCTCTGACTGGCCCCTGCCCCTTTCCTTTTCTGGCCCCACCCTTCCTTGCCTCTCTTCTGTGACGGTGTTCCTTGTTTGGAATGTCTCAATATGGGACATGTCTTCCCCTCGCTGATTTCCAGGATCTCTGCTGTAGCGTGCCTAATGGAATGTCAGCCTTTCTGGTGGGGGTGAGTGGGGAGTTTCTCAGAGGAAGATGTCCCGGATTCCTAGGCTGGCTCTTCTTGCACTGGGCAGACCCTGCCGGCTGACCCCCAGCCCCAGGTCACACTGCCCCGGTGGTCATCTGTCCAGCGTGGTGAAACGCTTGTGGGAGGTTGCTGTGTCACAGCCACCTCCACCTGGACCACGCTGGCGAAGTGCCTTCCTAATTGCCCCCATGCCCACCCTGCAGCAGAGACCCCCATCGAGGAGTTCACGCCCACGCCGGCCTTCCCAGCTCTACAGTATCTGGAGTCGGTGGATGTGGAGGGCGTGGCCTGGAGGGCCGGGCTGCGCACGGGAGACTTCCTCATTGAGGTGAGGCTCATCCTTACCTGTGCAGCCAGGTGGGGTGCTGACCTCTGAGCCCTGAGGAGGACACACCTGACTGGCCCCACCCTCCCGCCTATCTGTCCCAGGTGAATGGGGTGAACGTGGTGAAGGTGGGACACAAGCAGGTGGTGGCTCTGATCCGCCAGGGCGGGAACCGCCTCATCATGAAGGTTGTGTCGGTGACAAGGAAGCCAGAAGAAGATGGGGCTCGGCGCAGAGGTGAGGGTTCAGGCTTCAGACCTCTGTGCCCAGACTCTCCCCTCTGACTCCTGACCTTAGAACTTTGACTCTAGGCCTACCTTCCTCTCCCCACCCCTTGACCCCAGACTGCTGATACTGGATACCTGAACCTAGGCAAAACACCCACATTCAAGGCCTGATGGCTTCCCAGTCCCTAATGTTAGACTGCTAACCCTGGCCCCCGGACTCTGACCGCGACCCCAGGTTGCCACTCCTCAGATCCCCGCCCCCTCCTTTCCGGCGTCCCCCACCCCAGTCCCTGGCGTGGAAGAGCCCTCCTTCCCTTCCCGACACTGCAAGCAGCTGCCTGGAGGCCGGGGTTGCCATGGCAACTGTGAGGTTGACGCTGCCGCTGCCGCTTATTGTCGGAGGGAAGGGGGAGGTGGCACCTGAGGGAAGAGGAAAAGCGTCTTCTCCCCGCGCCGACGTCGCGGCACAGTCAGGGCCCAGGAGGCTTTGCCGGCCTGGCCCAGCCAGCCCAGGCCCTGGCTCTGCTGACCACACCCTGGTCCCCTGAGGGGCAGTGTCCTCCAGGACCTGGGGGAGCCCTGGAGCAGCAGGAGCCTGCCTGCCGGGAGACCCCTCCCAGCCCCCACCCATGGCTCTGGTGCCCCCTTGCTCAGCCCTCGGAGCTTACAGGGTGGGCACTCAGGCTGGAGCTGGCCAGCACTGTGTCCCCCACTGTGGCCCTTGACCACCTCCTGAGGCCCCGACTGCCCCGGCCGAGCCTGGCCCTCAGCACCCCCTGAGCCCCCAGCGCCATGAAGAAGTTTGCGTCTAGCCGCAGCCTGAACAAGATCCTGGCGCAGTGCGACTCGTCCTCACGGGAGTATGAGGAGATCCAGGCGGTGGAGCGCAAGTGGCACCTGCACCTGGCCACGCCGCGCTGCCTGCTGCTGGACAGGAGGCCCAAGGCCTCTCTCTTCTTTGCAGCCCCACCACCCCCTAAGAGGGCCCCCAGCACCACGCTGACCCTGCGCTCCAAGTCCATGACGGCTGAGCTTGAGGAACTTGGTGAGCGGCGGGGGCAGCAGCGGGCAGACAGCCCAGGGTGGGAGGCCAGGCAGAGTGAGCTGGGGCCAAAGCCAGGCAGAGACAGGGGAGGAAGGACAGACAGACAGATATATGAACAGGTCAAAGGTAAATGAATGGGTGTGGAGGGGTGCAGAAATTGGGCATCTGTGGGGTGAGGAGGGGACGACACATGGATGGGGTGAAGGCTGAAGGGCTGGGCGACGGGGCCAGAGATGGACAGTGGGACAGCTGGGACTGATGGCCAGGGAGCAGGGCCTGGCCCACCAGTGTGTTTGCATGCGCGTGCTGCCTCTGGCTCTCCACATCTCTAGTCTGACTTGACTCCTTCGTGACACAGGAGTCAGGGGACCTGGGCTCTGCTCCTGGCTCTGCCAGCACTAGCTGTGTGACCTTTGCGTTTATTTTACCCTCTCAGCACCTGCTCACTCATCGGTTAAGCAGAGGTCATGACAGGGAGCTGCTGACCTCACAGGGCCATGTGAACATTGCTGGTATGAGGGGACAGGCCCTTGTGAGCTGCAGGAGGCAAACAGGAGCTTGTCAGGGCTTTGATGGGTCATGTTATGGGCACAGTCCCAAGGTGACCGCCAAACGCCTCATTGTGGGAAGTCTCTGTACATGTGACTATAGCAGCCTCATCACAGGCATGTCCAGGCATACATGAGTGTGTCCTCACATACGTGACAGTTAATGGCATATCCTGACATACATGACCATCAGCATCCTCATTGTGGGCCTGTCCTGATGCACATGACTGTTAGCATGCTCTATTGTTCCATAATTGGAACCCAATCCTAGTCCCAGAGTTTGCTCTGGCTCTATCATAGAAGGAACCCTGATCCTGGTTTTAGACTGAGCCCCAACCCTGGCTTCAGGCTTGGTTCTACCCCAGCCACAGAAAGAACACTTACTTGTCCCCCTGAATTATTCCTGACCTTACTCGTGGACTGAGCCATGACCCTGGTCACAGGCTGAGCCATCCCCCTTCCAAGCAGGTACTCTCGACTGCAGTTTAGTTCAGTGTGGAGTACAGCCACCAAGATAGTCTGGGCTGACAGGACTTTTCAGGATTTTCTTCCCCATAAATATTCTGAATAAAATAAAATTTAAAAAACATACAGCCAAATCAAAACAAAGAAAGAGGAATTCCCCAGGTCTCAAAAGTGAAGAGAGAAATCAGAGTGAGAGGAAGCTGATGCTTCTATAGTTTGTGAGGGCTTGGGACAGGATAAAAATCTTAAGGGCAAGGGGTTGGGGTTCTGATGCCCCCACAGAGCCAAGAGATGTGGCTGTGGACCCACAAGAAGTGAGAAAGCTAGAACCAAGCCCAAGAACTGGAATTAGCATCAAAAGAACTGGAAATCATAGAATATGAAAGAGACAAAATAAGGTTTAAATATAAAGTTTAAGAGACCTAACGGAACTCATAACGAAAGAACAGGACAGTACAAAAAAAGAATAAGCAAGTTATAAAAGGATCCCTAAAGAACTGTTATTGAAACAAAAAGTATAGCCACTGAGATTAAAAATCCATGGCTGAAATAAACAGTATACTGGACCCAGCTGACAGAAGAAACAGTGAATCAGAAGATCTGAGGAAATGATCCAAAATATAGCACAGAAAGATAAGGAGGTACAAAATATCAAAGAGCAGATAAGAGAGACGGAGGACAAGTGAGAACCCCAGCCTTCTGAGAGTGCCAGAGGGAAAGAGTAAACAGATTGGGGAAGAGGCAGTATGTGAAGAGTAAATGGCTAAGAATTTTCTAGAATCACATAAGGACATGAGATTCCGGTTTGAAGTGTAAGTCCCAAGCAAGGAAATAAAAACAAATCTACGTCTAGACGTAGCACAGTAAGACTTCACACCACCACTGACGAAAAGAAAAGTCTTAGCTCCCAGGGAAAGAGGCAGGTGACTTAGGAGCGGAGGTGAGACTGACAGCAGACTTCTCATCAGCAATAGTAGATGCTAGAAGACAATGGAACAGGAACCTCAAAAAGTCTTGAGTCAAAATGCTTCTCCACCTAGAATTCTATACCCAGCTAAACCGCCCATTCAAGAGTGAGGCAGAGAAGCTAGCAGATTTCTGGCCCCGGGGTCACGAGGGTCCAAGGCTAGTCATGGGGAGCTGATTCACCACACGGATGGAGGATCCAAACTGATCAATAAACCAGTAGCAGTAGGCAGCTGGGTCTGGCTAGACACCAGGCCAAGGCTCTGGTGAGTGGGTCCCAGGAGTCTCCTTCCAGAGGCTGTCACATAGCCATGTTCAGCTGCACGTTCAGAAGGGATCTTCCTAGTTCTGCACAAAGTGGTGCTTGGGCAGCCTGAGAGCTGTACTGTGGGGACCCAGGGACTCTGCCCTGTGGAAGCAGAAGAATTGCCTTCTGCTCTCTGGGCTGCTTCTGTCTGAAGAAACCAGTGAAGGGAAGAGCCTCCTCCTCCTCTGCTCTGGTCTGGGGCATTCCCTCTGCTGCTGCATAGCAGGGTTGCTCTGCAGACCCTTGTCTTCCAGGAGGCTCACTTGCAGCCTCAGGTCAGCATCATTTTCACCAGCTTTTCCCTGAGCAGAGTCTGGGGGAGGATGAAGGGACAGCTTAGCATAGAGCCTCCGTCCACACTGCTGAGTGAGGAGTCACAGCCTTTGTTGAAGCTGGACCCAGACTCTTTACGTTGCTCTGTTCAGAGAAGGAGAAGCCGCTCCTCCCCCCAGACAGCTGAACTGGGAAGCTAGCCCACTTGCTGACCTTCTGACTAGTCCCCTGTAGAAACGCCTGGTTTGTGGAAGCCAGGCCAGCATCAGGGTTTCCCCAGGTACCCACGGTCCAGCGTTTGTGCTTTTAAAGGAGAGAAGTAAGACCTGTCGGTTCATTGCCAGCATAAACACGTCAGTTCTGTGTCATACTGTCAAGAGCTGATAGAACCCTTCAGGATCCTGTAGTCTATTGAGAAGATGACCTGAACACCTGGAAAGAAAGGAAAATGTGAGGTGACAGAAGAAGCAAGTGGCAAGGGTGGGGGCTCATGCCCAGGTGGCTGTTTGCTGCTCAGAGAGCATGGGGGAGGAGTAAGGTCCTGCAGGAGAAAGAGGCGGGAGAGAGCATCTTGGTGGCGATGGTGCGAGCACAGGCAGCGCCCAGCCAGTGAAGGGTGGAGGTAGCTGCCAGAAATGGGATTGAGAGGAAGCATTGGGGTAGAGACCTTCCTCATGAGACAGGTGGGAGGAGGAGGAGGAAGGGCACACACCCCTAGTGCCCTTGAGCACTGGGGCTCCTCACAGTCACCACGTGCTCATCCGCTCAGCTTGAATCAAGGATGTGCTGAGGCTGCAGAGGTCAGTAGAGACTCAGGCCAGGGAGGGCCCTGGAGGGTCCAAACCCTTCCTGTTCACCCACTTTCCCATGAGAAATCTGGAACTTCTGGGTCCCTTTTTCTTTTGTGATGAGAATGTCAGGCAGGTGCCACACGAGTGTGCGGTCCCTGACAGGCCTCGATCTGGCAAACACAGTGACCTGCCCTTTGTTGCACACACACTGCTCAGAATGCTCAAGGGCGACCACTGTAGCCATCAGTGGCCTCCGAACTTGGTTTTTGTGGGTTTTGCCTTTTTTCTTAACAAACATTTGACAGAACCAAGTGTGATTTAGTTGCGCGTGGACGTCTCCACATGTGTGTGCATGGCTGTGCATGCATGTGCTCAGGTGTGCGTGGATGTGAACAAGCATGTGTGGATGTGCACAAGCATGCATGTGTGTGCATGTGGGCATGCATGCACATGCATGTGTGCACGTGTGAGTGAAAGTGCACAAGCATGTGTGCATCTGTGCATGTGCATGTGTACACACACACAAGCACACACCCCTGCTTGTAGTTTCCACCTTGAATTTCAAGTTGTGTACTGACTGGCATTTGCCAGATTTGCCACTCACGGTCTGAGAGGGAGGTGTAGGCTCCGGGCTGTGGGGGATCTGGGAGGTCCTGGTTGTTGGGAGGGGTGGAGGTGGGAAAGATGGGGAGTGGGGCCCAGTGTGGGGGAAGAAGCCTGCCTCTTACCCCCCTGCTCTGTTTCTTGATTCCAAGCCTCCATTCGGAGAAGGAAGGGGGGTGAGTCATCTGCTGTGTTCCCAGGTCCAGCCCTACCTGACCCTTGTCCGGGGAAGTAACTGGTGTGCGAGGAGGTTCCAGTTCAAATCAGGGTGGTCTGGAAGCCTGGGCTGTGCCCTCCTGTTGGTCTTCTCTCTGGGGATCTGCTGGGGGCACAGTAGAAGGACCTAGGAAGGGATGGATGGGAGTTCCCAGGGGTGTGGCCATCTGGGGACTTGATAGTGAGGCGAAGCCACAGGCCTTGGGGGCTCAGGTGAGCTGGGGGACATGAGAGCCGAGGAGGCAGCCTGGTGAGGCAGAGCTGGGAGATCCTCCTGGTGGAGGCCATAGCATGTGCCATGGCCTGAAGCTGGGGAGGGGAAGAGTTCAGAGGGCCCAGCTCTGGAGCTCGCTCTGGAAGCATGGTGACTGGGCATGGGAGCAGGAGTGTCGGGTGCTCAGCTCCAGCCCATGTTGCTTCTTTCTGCCCATTCTCTGGGGGCTCCTTGTTGCTGGTATGTCGGTCTCATTTCTGTGCTGATCTGTTGTGGGGTCAAGCCCAGTGCTGACAGTCCCTTCAGAGCAGGGGTCTGCACCCCAAAACCTTGGGGAGGGAGCTTGGAGCTCCCTGCCTAGCATCGCCCAGGCTGTTGCCTTCACCACTCCCTGCTCGTCCCTTTAGGCCTCGCCTTCTGTATCCTTTGAGGCTCCTTTCTGTGTGTCCTTTGTGTCCAGCCTGACTTCAAGGGACGCAGCATCATGTGGGGACAGAGTCTGGGCCTGGACCCTGAGGTCCTGGTGAGATCTCAGGGCCTGGCCTCTGCCAGCCTCCTCCACCTTTCGGGTGGACAGGAGCCTCTTTTTCTGCTGCACAGGAGTCAGGGCCAGAAGGAAGCCGGAGGGGGCTTCATGGCCTCAGCCGCGTGTGTTCACTCGTTTGTCCATGTGCCTGGTGCCCACCCGTCCCTCACTCCGGGATCCACTGGGCCTTCCCTGTGCCGGGGACGCAGTTGTCCCATCTGTCTCAGCCCAGGCTCTCCTGCGTGACCTGCAGTCTCACCCTCTGAATCCTGTTGCCCTGGCACCCCAGGTGAAGTGCCTTCCTCAGTGTCTTTTCGGGTATTAAAAACATGACTAGGTCTCCTCTGGGGACACTTTTCTTCACACCTTTGAGGCAGACACACAGGCTATTTCTGGAGTATTTTGGTTCTGTCTTCAGCTCATTAGCGGGACTCCCAGGGTGCTGTGCTGTGGCCTGTGTGCTGCTTCCAGTTGTAGGGGCAGTGACGGGCGATTCACCACCCCCGCAGGCCCCTTGTTCCTGCTTGGGTCCTGGCAGTTCAAACAGCTGCACACCCAGCTGTGTCTGCACCATGTGTCGTGTATTGACAGCCAGTGTACATGAGGCTGCTGGGAGTGACCAGTTACCAGCGCCCCAAATCTGGTTCCTAATGGGCTTCAGTTCCTTTTTTAAGTATCTAAAATCATTTATTTAAGAATATATTTTCTACTTTTGTTGGCGATTGGTTTCAACCTCACCAGCTTGTAGTTTGCACAATTCTTGATTCTTTCCCTATTGAAAATAATTCTCGTCTGGCCCAGCACCATCGCCCCATGGCCAACAATGTTTGCTTTGCTAACTTCCTGTGCACACTGCTTTGGGTCTCTGGGATTGAGTTCTGGACCTAGAGATGCAGCCTTTAACGCACAGCTCAGGTGAGAATGTGCCATGTGTCCCATGGAAATGTCTTCTCTCCGCTCCTGTCTTTCTGTCTGCGGTTTCTGGATAGCATGGTAGTTAAGTCTGGTCTCTTACTAGTTAGATCTATGATCTGGGGCAGTTTATCTTTCTCAGATCATCAGTTTCTTCTTGGGGAAAATGAGGGCAATAATAGTATCTTCTTCATGTGGTTGTTGTGGGATGAAAGGAGAGGATTCACGTGAAGCTCTTCTAACTCTGGAAATCACCAAGGACTTAACAAATGGTGGTGATGGTGGTTTCAGCTTTCAAAAGGGAATTATTCACTTCATTACAGAAACAAACAGGAAGACCCCTCTAATGAGCCCTCCCTGGTCTGCACCTGGGCCCAGGCGCCTCGTGGTGCTGGGAGCCATGCACAGGCCCAGTGAGCCAGTCTGTAGGTGGAGCATGTTTTGCTGGTGCATTGTAACATTGGTTGAACTCCTATATTATCCAGGGCCCAGGCTGGATGCTCGGGGCATATAGGAGAGGGTATTTGCTCTCCTTCCAGGAGCCCATGAGCTGTTGGGGGAGGTGAGGTGCAGACCTGAAGAACTATAGCAGGTGTGTCCTCCGTGCTTGTGCTGAGCCAGGCACAGCTGGAGCACTGATGTCTGTGCTCATTCTCACAACAGACACTGAAGCAGGTGCCATTTTATGCCTGTTTTATCAGATAAGGAAACCGTCACAAAGAGGTTAAATCAGGACAGAGTCAGTGTACATGGTGGGTCTGGTTGGGGTTGGGTACTGGACATCTCAGAGGAGTTTTACTTTCCCACAGCAGTTGCTGAGCGGGGTGCAGAGGTGGAGGTGTCGAGGCTGACCACAGAAGTTCTCCACGGGCACTCTGAGAGGCAAAGGACAAGTGTGGCCAGACGCGTGGTCCTCTGGGGATGCCCCGAGAGTTGGGAAGGGCTTGGGGATTTGGAGCCTGAGTGACGGGTGGGGTGAGGTGGGACTACTGAATGACTACCCAGGCATCAGCCCCCTGGGCCTTCCTCACCCCTTCTTGATTCTCTGGCTATGACTGCTTTCTAAGGGGCTGGCAGAAGCCCCTTGAGCACTGTGCCTCCCAACATCCTCCTCTCTTCTTGGCACTTCCCACCCTGGGGCTGCTTTTCCTTCGATGATGGTGCTTTGGCCTCCCGATCTGCATAGAGCCATTTTTTTAGGTCCCTAGCCTGGGGTGGTGAGCTCAGTTTTTAGCAAGTATCCACCATTCATTCATTCTTGGTTTATTCATGTCTTTTGTGGGCACCTGCTGTACATCAGGGTCTGTCCTAGGGCTGCAGTCCCGCCAGGAACAGCTTGTCTTTTGGTCAGTGGGGGCACAGATAGATGATGCCGTGTGCTGAGGAGAAAAGGGAAAGGGCAAAGGAGACAGTGAAATTCAGGAAGACTGGGCTCTAAACAGTTTGTCTCCACCCTGGTCCTCTCCCTAATGGTCAGTTAGGCTTTCCCTGGAGATGGGTCTGTTGGGTCTCCTGGAGCCTCCCTGAGGATGGAGAGGCCAGGCTGGAGCAGGGTCTGGGTTCTGGTGTGAGGGGCTTGGGTGGATGCAAGTTGTGGGGCCTCCCCATCTCAGGTCTGCATGCCTTGGGGAGTGACGGGCCTGCAGTGGGCAGAGCCCCTGTGGCCTCTGTCCGCAGCACTGGGTGGACCAGCCTTGGGAGGCAGACGCAGCAGTGGGGCTGCAGAGGGCTGTAGCCGGCTCAAGGTCCAGGTGGCTGAGATGGTGCCTCCTTGGCTGTGCAGAGAAACTGGACGAGATTCTGGCGGCCGCTGCAGAGCCGACACTGAGACCAGACATCGCGGATGCCGACTCAAGAGCTGCCACTGTCAAACAGCGGCCCACTAGTCGGAGGATCACCCCTGCTGAGATCAGCGTAAGCCAGCCAGGCAGCTGAGGGGACTGGGGGACGGGTGGGGCATGGAGTCAGAGTGCCATGTCCCCAAACTGGGCGTTTGTGCATTTTTCTGGGGTGGGGGGTCCATCTATCCTGGATCCCACTCTCCAGGGGTGGGGGTGAAGGACCCCACGGCCTCTCCCAGAGACACGTGGACCCATCTCAGCCCCCAGAATGGCCATAGGTCAACACGTGCTGAGTCCTCACCCCTGGCTGTGGCTTTTGGTGCCTCCTGCCTTAGGCAGGTTCTGGGCCACACCCAGGACCACCTAGAGCACCCCAGCCCTGTGTACCCCCACCCACTCCTCTCACTTGGTGCCTCTGGGCCACTCCCCCAGCCTCACCTGGCCATACCCAGGGCATCTGTCTGCTCTGGCCCCGTCGGCATCAACCCTGCCCAGCACTGTTTATGCCCGGCCCCCACTGGCTGTGTCCCTGCTCCCTGGGGGCAGGACCTGGGTCTGATTCCTGCGTCAGGCACTTCGGGCACCAGCACTGTTGGAATTAGTGCATGGGGTGTCTTATCTCAGGCTTAGGAGGAGGATGGGTGGGGCTGGATGGAGAACTGGGGGCCCCAATGCTTAGAACCTCCATATAACCCCCCAACTCCCACAGTCATTGTTTGAGCGCCAGGGCCTCCCAGGCCCAGAGAAGCTGCCGGGCTCCTTGCGGAAGGGGATTCCACGGACCAAGTCTGTAGGTACGGCTGGGCTGGGGACTGCACGGGACGGGGAAGAATGGGGCTGGGGCCGGGGTGAATGTGGGGCTGGAGGACCCTGTCTCTCACCCTTCAACAGGGGTTTCCAGTTTCCCTCTGAGTCCTGCCTCTCTCTGGCCCCAGCCCAGGAATCTCATTTGTTTGTGGACATATGTGGGGGTCAGTCCTTCTTCCAACCCAGAGATACTTTGCTGAGAGAGATCCTTAAGGCTCCCCGGCATCTACCGCTCCCTGTCCAGTGGGCACCCCCCATCCTGTACTTCCCACTGACACCAGCATCCCTGTCTCTGGGTCTTCCATCTCCTATCCTGGCTGCTCCCTCTGCAGCTTGAGTACATGTCAAGGTTCTGATCCTAAAACTACCCTCCCCTTGAACCTGCCCCCCACCCCCAGGTATTGCTCTCTCTCTCCTCTCCTTCACAGCCTATTTTCTCCAAAAGTCACCTGTACTAGCTGTCTCCCGTCCACCACCCTCTCCTCAGCCTGGGGCAGGCTAGCTCTGTCCATACCTAAACTGAAATAGCTCCCACCAGGGTCACCAACGGTTTCCAGGGCATTCCTCCCAGTGGACACATGACCAGCCCTCCTCTTAGTGACCTCAGTTGGCATTTGATTTTTCTGCTCCATCCTCCATGAAACTCTCCTCCCCAGGCTGTAGGACAACACTTCCTGGCTTCCCCCTCAGTTCTCAGGCTGCACCTGTTCAGTCCTCGCCACCACACCAAATGTGGGTCCTTCTCCAGGCTGTGTCCTTAGCCTCTTTACCTTCTGCCCCTGTCTCCTTGGGGCCTCATCACACCCCAGCTGCTGTCAGGCCCCACACTTAGCCATCTCCTCTTTTGACCCAGACTGGGTCATCTAACAAGCTCCACCTACCACTCATCCCTCTAGGTGTCCAGTCCCCCATCACCCGCCCACCTGTCCATCTACCCAAAGACCTGTCCACTTTTCTGTCCACCTGTCATCCATCCATCCATGTACACCCCACCACACCCACCATCAGAGTCAATGCCTCGTCAGCACTTACTACAACTCTGTTTTATGCACACTGGCTCATTCATTCACTACCTACAGTAAGCCTGCTGAGGTAACACTACTAGTGCCTCTGTATTACAGATGAAACCGAGGCAGAGGTAAAATGACTTGTTTAAGGTCACACAGCTGCCATACCTGTCTCCTCTTTACTCATCTGGCCAACCAGCTGCCCAAACCCCAATCCCTCATTCATCCCGGGACCTGCTGATTGATGCCCACTCTAGGCTGACCCTGGGCAGGGTCTGGGGGCTCGGGGGGTGGAAGTGACACGTCTGCAGAAAGCTCAGCAGTGACGGTGAGTGAAGGGGCAGGTGCAGGTGGAGCCAACTAGGGAACATCAACCACATCCGGGCCTCCTGGAGGGCTGGAAGGGGTGTTTGAACTTAGACGTGCAGGATGAGTGGGGTTTCTGGGAGATGATCAGGTGAATTGCTGACAGAGGCCCTTGTGTCTTGCATGCTTCTCCAGGGACTGCTGTGGGTCATTTCTGTAAGAGGGGCGGTGGGGAAGAGGGCAGATGAGCCTGCAGCTACTTGGAGCCGACAGGCACTATACCCCCGCCCCCCTGGCCTAAACACTGGGCGTCCTCTGTGGTTTCCTCCTTGTTCTCTGCCTCCTCACATGCCTTGCAGCCCTGCCCAGGCCCGGCCTTGCTGTCTTGCACCTAGACCATAGCTTTGGTCTCCTCATGACCTCCTGCCCCACCTCCACCCTCTAGTCCGTCCCTTTGGCCAAAGGGGGCTTTCTGCAAAGTAGATTATCACCCTGAAGCCCTCCAGTTGACCCTCTGTGGGCTCCTCATTGCCTTGGGGCCCTGGAGACCAGCCCCAGCCCTCTCCTGCTTCATCTGGGGGACATTTGTCTCCACCTCCCTCTGACCTGAGTCTGCTAGCACCTGCTGTTCTCCACCTGCCCTCATTCTGCCCAGATGGCCTGTCCCTCAGCTCTGTCCAGTCCCAGGACTGACCGCAGCAGGTCCAGATCTAAGTGCCCGCCCTGCAGGATGTGAGCCTCTCAGTGGGCATTGCCAACTCTTCCACACTCATTCCTCCTGCACGAGCTGAGAGGGGCTCATCTTTAATCCCCCTGGCCTGCTGCTCGTTGCCACCATGAACGCTGGGTAAGGTGTCAGACTCCTGGGGCTCCCCACCTTGTTCGGGCTGTGTGGCCCTGGACACACAATTCAATCCTTGAAACCTCAGGGTCCTGATCCATAAACATGGGGACCATCTAGTACCTACTTCCGAGGCCACTCTGAGGCCCACCCAGTGGGCTGTACTCACAGGCTGACTGCCGAGCTCAGCAGCGACTGCTTGTGTTGTTGGTGGATGTAGGTCCTGCATCTTGAGGCTGGCATACAGTAGTACAGAAATATTCGCTGCTGTTATTTGGACAGAGGGCCTTAGCCCCACCCCAGATGGGATCAGAACAGATTCCCCACTTCATCCCGAGGCAAGGGACTTGTCTTCACCCTAAATTGGAACTTGGCCTGCCAAACTGCCTGCATCCTCTAGGAGCACTAGCTTTTGCCTTGTAGCTCTGTCTCACACACAGGCTTGTGGTGTTCAGCGCATGTTTGTAGCTGTGCAAAAAATGCAGTGGGGAGGAGACCCAGCACGAACCTGGAATAGATTCTGTGTCCAGTGGCAGGGGTGGAAGGCAGACCTAGAAATGATGATGACGATGACTTCAGCCGCCTTCCTTCCTGAGACGCTTCTACGTGCTTACCCTGTGCTGTAAACTTTAAATGGCTTCAGTTCACACAGCCCCGCAATGGGGGTGGGCAGTTCTCCTGAGATGAGGAAACTGAAGTGCCAAGAGGTTAAGGAACGTCAGAGAGTAACTGACAGAGCTAGAATTCAAGCTTAAGTCTTTACACAGAAGCCCACCCTTGTTGTGCCCGGGATTACAAGAGCTATTACGCAGGACAAGATGCAGAAAGTGTGGTGTGGGAGGCCTGGTGAGAGCACCGTGGTGGCTCAAGGAGGAGGTGGTTGGGAACAGGCAGTCTGCATCGTAGTGAGTTCACACACATGTGACCAAACCCACAGTGAGGCCAGGTGTAGATTCCCAAGGCCTCCACCAGAGACCTGTGTGTGTCAGCATGGAGGAGCCATTCATCCACTCTCTTTGCTTTGGGCTAACACCTGCAGCCTAACTGAACACACCTGCAGCACAGGTGTCCACATTGTGTCCACAAGGACATTTGGGAGGTCCTGCCAGGTTTTAGCTAGGCAGCAGAACGATGAGTGCCCTGAACACTCCAGCCCTGCTCTTGCACAGATCCTAACGACATCTGGCAGAGTGGGGTTCTTAAGCCTGTGTTGCCCATGAACTGAGGCTCAAAGGGGCTCAGGGCCTGGCCTGGGGTCACACAGCCAATAGGGGGTAAAAATAAAGCATGTCTCAGGTGCTCAGCCTGCAGTTCCATTTTAGTCCTTCCTCCCTCCCACCCAACCTTACTGAATTTCAGCCGCTAGGGTTACGGCAATGACCTCCTGGCAGCCTCTCCCAGTCCAGTCCACACGGGTCTCTGGGATGGAGCCTCTCAGGGCTTCTCTTTTCACAAAGCCCCACCCCACCTGGATGTCAGCTCTCTTTTTGCCGTATGCATGGCTCTGCGGGCAACAGTCCTGCTGCCCCATTGTCTACAGTCAGTGTATCACTCCTGCTCTGGGAGAGCATCCCTGTCATTTCTGACCATCTCCCTCCCACCTATGGTTGCCATCTGGGCCTCTCAGTGACACCTGCTGGTTCCACTGCTGGTGGTTGTGAGGTGTGGCCTTGCTCAGTCTTGGTGGGAAGCGCTGCACGTGGTGGTGGTGGTGGTGGTGGGGAACATCCCCTACCCTCTTGGGATGTCGTCTTTGGGTCCTGTCCATGTCTTGGCACCAAGCAGGGCAAAGTTGGGGTGCTTTCTCAGAGCGTCTGCTGGTGGGGCCCTCCTCTACCCTATATCTGAACCGACACCTCTCCCTCATCTTTGCAAGAGCCTTCTCGATCCAGCACCGGGCTTGGGGTGCAGAGCCTGGAGGTTCAGGGACGACCCAGACTGGGGACCTTGTGCACATCCCCTCTTCTGAGCTCCCCGTACCCCACCTGCTCTCTAACCTGAGCCCCCCCTCCCGCCCTGACTCCCTCCTGCCTGCCAGGCTAGCGCCTGCCGCCAATTTCTCAGGGGTGTCCTCACAACCCTTGCGTCTGGGACCGCGGCTGCCCTGGGGTGGCGTCGGGGCAGGGCCGGCCTCTGCGAGGGGCGGGCGCCGGTGTCCGGAGGGGCCTCCTTGAAGGCACCGGCCTTCAGCGCCCCGACCCATCTCACCGGGCCCCCTCTGTCCGCAGGAGAGGATGAGAAGCTGGCGTCCCTGCTGGAGGGGCGCTTCCCGCGGAGCACGTCGATGCAGGATTCGGTGCGCGAGGGCCGCGGCATCCCGCCCCCGCCGCAGACCGCGCCGCCGCCACCCCCCACTCCCTACTACTTCGATTCGGGGCCGCCCCCCGCCTTCTCGCCGCCGCCTCCGCCGGGCCGCGGCTACGACACCGTGCGCTCCAGCTTCAAACCCGGCCTGGAGGCGCGCCTGGGCGCGGGGCCCACGGGCCTGTATGATGCTGGCGCGCCCTTGGGTCCGCTACCCTACCCTGAGAGGCAGAAGCGCGCGCGCTCCATGATCATCCTGCAGGACTCGGCGCCTGAGGCGGGCGACGCCCCCCGGCCCCCGCCAGCGGCCACCCCGCCAGAGCGCCCCAAGCGCCGGCCGCGGCCGCCGGGCCCAGACAGTCCCTACGCCAACCTGGGCGCCTTCAGCGCCAGCCTCTTCGCGCCGTCCAAGCCTCAGCGCCGCAAGAGCCCGCTGGTGAAGCAGCTGCAGGTGGAGGATGCTCAGGAGCGCGCGGCCCTGGCAGTGGGCAGCCCTGGTCCGGGCGGTGGCAGCTTTGCTCGCGAGCCCTCCCCAACACACCGCGGGCCTCGGCCGAGCGGCCTCGACTATGGCCCTGGGGACGGCCCCGGGCTCGCGTTCGGTGGCCCGGGCCCCGGTAAGGACCGGCGGCTGGAGGAGCGGCGCCGTTCCACCGTGTTCCTGTCGGTGGGAGCCATCGAGGGCAGCGCCCCCAGCGCGGACCTGCCCTCCCTGCAGCCCTCCCGCTCCATCGACGAGCGCCTTCTGGGGGCTGGCGCCACCACTGGCCGCGACCTGCTGCTGCCCTCTCCTGTCTCTGCTCTGAAGCCATTGGTCAGCGGCCCGAGCCTTGGGCCTTCGGGCTCCACCTTCATCCATCCACTCACCGGCAAACCCCTGGACCCCAGCTCGCCCCTGGCCCTTGCCCTGGCTGCCCGCGAGCGGGCTCTTGCCTCCCAGGCACCCTCCCGGTCGCCAACGCCTGTGCACAGCCCTGATGCTGACCGCCCTGGGCCCCTGTTTGTGGACGTCCAGGCGCGTGACTCTGAGCGAGGGGCTTTGGCCTCTCCTGCCTTCTCTCCGAGGAGCCCAGCTTGGGTTCCTGTGCCTGCTCGCAGAGAGCCAGAGAAAGCTCCTCGGGAAGAGAGGAAGTCGCCTGAGGACAAGAAGTCCATGATCCTCAGCGTGCTGGACACGTCCCTGCAGCGGCCAGCAGGCCTTATTGTCGTGCATGCCACCAGCAACGGGCAGGAGCCCAGTGGGCTGGGGGCTGAAGAGGAGCACCCGGGCACCTCAGAGCTGGCCCCGGCCCCCACGCAGTCAGCAGTGGTGGCAGAGCCCCTGCCTAGCCCCCGGGCCCAGCCCCCTGGCAGCACCCCGACAGACTCTGGGCCAGGCCAGGGCAGCTCAGAGGAGGAGCCAGAGCTGGTATTTGCTGTGAACCTGCCGCCCGCCCAGCTGTCCTCCAGTGACGAGGAGACCAGAGAGGAGCTGGCTCGCATTGGTCTGGTGCCACCCCCCGAAGAGTTTGCCAACGGGGTCCTGCTGGCCACCCCACTTCCTGGCCCAGGTCCCTCGCCCACCACGGTGCCAGGTCCGGCCTCAGGGAAGCCGAGCAGCGAGCCACCCCCCGCCCCCGAATCTGCCGCAGACTCAGGAGTGGAGGAGGCCGACACGCGCAGCTCTAGCGACCCACACCTGGAGACCACAAGCACTATCTCCACGGTGTCCAGCATGTCCACCCTGAGTTCTGAGAGTGGGGAACTCACCGACACTCACACCTCCTTCGCCGACGGACACACTTTTCTACTCGAGAAGCCGCCAGTGCCTCCCAAGCCCAAGCTCAAGTCCCCACTGGGGAAGGGGCCGGTGACCTTCAGGGACCCGCTGCTGAAGCAGTCCTCGGACAGCGAGCTCATGGCCCAGCAGCACCATGCCGCCTCTGCCGGGTTGACCTCTGCCGCCGGGCCTGCTCGCCCTCGCTACCTCTTCCAGAGAAGGTCCAAGCTGTGGGGGGACCCCGTGGAGAGCCGGGGGCTCCCCGGGCCCGAAGACGACAAACCAACTGTGATCAGTGAGCTCAGCTCCCGCCTGCAGCAGCTGAACAAAGATACACGCTCGCTGGGGGAGGAGCCTGCTGGCGGCCTGGGCGGCCTGCTGGACCCTGCCAAGAAGTCGCCCATCGCAGCAGCTCGGTGAGCAGGGCAGTGTGGGGAGGGTCCTGTCCCACGTCCATGGCCCCCCTTGTATTCTTCCTCTTGTCTATCCACAGTTCCCTCTGTTCCCCCTCCACGGCCCCTTCTGTCCGATCCCTCACCTGTCCGTGGCACCCCCACTTCCCCCGTCCCCCTCTCTGTCCTTTATCTGGCCTTTCTTTGTCTGTCTGAGACAGAAGGCTCTTTCAGAGATCTGAAATATCAGGGCTGCTATTCTCGCTATCCCTGTTGGTGCTGGGAGTGGGAGCTGGGCAGCCATCAGAGACCCAGGCCGGGCGTGAGCACCTCCACAGCCCTTCTGGAGGCTCCCTGCCCTAGTGGTTCCTGTAGCCTCTCACTCTCCTGCTCCTGACTAAAGCTGCCTCTCTCATTAAGGGTCATTCTATGGTCTGCTCTGGAGTTGCAACGATCCCCCCTCCCTCAGCTATTTGGCTTTTCTGTGGCCTTGTGCACCCCCTTTCCTCCCTGTGGCCACGTGGCTGCCCCGTGTGGCTGGTCACATTTCCTGTAGCTGCCTCCTGCCTTGCTTCCTTTTGAGGCTTAGAGTATAGTGGTTCCTTTTCCTTTTGGGACCTGCCACCAGCTTCCTATTTTCTGCCCCAGAAACATTGTCTCTCGGTACCACCTGAGTCCCTTAAACACAGGCTCTTGTGTATGATTTTCAAAATGCCATTCTTAGATGGGAGTCACCCCATCTCTCAGCACCCTTCATCTACCCTCTCACCTTCTCCATACCTTCCCCGTCTCTGTCTGTCCTCCCCACCCACCCAGGGTGGGGACTTGAAGAGGCCACACTGTGCTTTGGAAATGGCAGGGAGGCACTGGCTTGTTGGGAGGGGCTGAGCAGGGGGCTGGGGTGCTACTGTGGCTGAAGCTGCCAGAGCCCCTGGGCTGATCCCTTGGATCTTTCCTTGAAGACCCCATTCCCAAGGCTCTGCCCCCAAAGGGGACCCCCTTGGCCTGTGGACTCCAGGGATGCTGGTGGGGGAGCTGGTTCCTGCCCATGGGTGCTGGGCTGAGGCAGAGCTAGTCATCCCTTGGCCGGTCCTTATCTGCCTTTTTCAAGTTGCCTTTGCCTTCTCTGACTCTTAGGCCCTCGTCCCCCTGTTCTGGCTTTGGGGGAGTGTGTGGGGTGCCACCTCCTGACTCCTCCTTTTTGCTACTCTGAAGACCACCCTAGTGGGCCCTTTCCAGTTAACCTTGGAAGGCAGAGTTCATAAAGCAGTGAGGGACTTAGGTCTTACTCATAGGGCTTGTCTGATCTACCTTCTTCCAGATAAAGGTTCAAAAGATACGTGGGGGCTTGGGAAGCTCATCATGCCTCTCCTAAGTGGTCCAGGAAGGCTGCCCTCCAGCTTCTGTCATCCCATGGGCTTGCTCTGGGGCCCTCTCCCCTTCTTGCCTCCTCCAGCTCCCAGATGAATGTGAAAGCCCTCTTCTCAGCAGGGTAGTGTTGAAAGTGCCCTTAGAGTGGGTGTTACAGGTGTGGCCAGGGGTGTCCAGTTAAGATGAACAGCCCAGGTCCTAGGGTCCTGGGTTTCTGCAGGATCAGACCCGTGAGGGTGGGGCTTCCCTGACCTGGCCTCGACCAGCCCCCAGCTTCGTTCTGCTCCTTCTCTCTCTGTCCCTCTGTCCCCTTGTTCCCAATGAGCCTCGACCAGCCCCCATCTTCACTCTGCTCCTCCTCCCTCCGTCCCGTTGGTCCCCGTGAAGTTAAAGCCATTTAAGGTGGGCAGCACAGCGCAGGCCCTCAATAAACATTTTCTAAATGGATGAAAGAACGAAGAAACATTCAAGTGCCGTCTTTTGTGGTCTGAGGTCTAGGAGGTTGTCCTGAGGCTCAGGACAAGTCCTACAGGACAGACACATGACTCCGATTTACTGGGTGTCGCCCC